TTACTCTTTTTACAATATCTCTTGCCTTGCCGCCCCCAACTAGGGGCATAGAGCAGGCTCAAGTCGCAACTGCGAAATATTTTTATATCCAAATTTTTCTGACAAAGAGTAAAGAATTAAATTGGGAGACTAAGATGGACCATTTCTGGCTTTTTTGCCTTCATCAGTTAGCCATACCCTTTATGGGATTCGAACCTGGAAAGAGTAAACTGCAGTATGGCAGTTGAAAATGTCAAGGTGTTCACAATCAGACCAATCTGTCTGAACTCCCTATAATTACTCCCTTGACTCTGCTGGCAAAGAAGGGGAAGAGAACCTGTGGCTCAGTGACTAAATCACTGACTAGTATGTATAACTGCCCAGGTTCGAATCCCATAAAGGGTATGGCTAAATGATGAAGGCAAAAAAGCCAGAAATGGTCCATCTTAGTCTCCCAATTTAATTCTTTACTCTTTGTCAGAAAAATTTGGATATATTCAATTATATATAATTACAAGTAAAAAAAAAATTGATCATCCTTCATGGTTTTCTGTTTTTCCCAACTGCCTTCTAAACTTTGAATACCCTCTATGAGGTTGGTTTATTTCTTTTTTTCCATCTCTTTTCTCTGGCTAAAAAAAAATAAGTAAGGTCTACATTTACGCAACAAAAACCAAATGCACAGGTATAGTATAGGGGGTACCTGGCTCAATAGTAGTAACTGTGGGAGGTATCTCGGAGTCCTACTGGACAATCACTTAGATATAATAATAATAATAATAATAATAATAATAATAATAATAATAATAATAATAATAATAATAATAATAATAATAATAATAATAATAATAATAATAATAATAATAATAATAATAATAATAGTAAAGTTAATTGTTCTCACTGTCAGGAAGTTTCTCCTTAGTTCTAGGTTGTTTCTCTCTTTGATTAGTTTCCATCCGTTGCTTCTTGTCCTGCCTTCTGGTGCTTTGGATAATAGCTTGACTCCCTCTTCTTTGGGGCAGCCCCTGAGATATTGGAACACTGCTATCATGTCCTCCCTCGTCCTTCTCTTCATTAAACTAGACATACCCAATTCCAGCAGCCGTTCCTTATATGCTTTACCCTCCAGTCCCCTAATCATCTTTGTTGCTCTTCTCT